GGGACCCCCTCAGCGCTCAGCACCCCGGTGCTGCCCAAGCACTGCGTGTCCACAAACAGGCACCGGCCTCACTCCTGAGCTGTGGCCTGAGAAAGAGGAGCCCCTCAGAGATGGAACAAGCAGGAAGAAGATGAAAATAAGGAAGAGAAATCTATGCGGAATACGAAGGCATCCTTGGTGGAGGGTTTCTGGACTAGGCTCTGCAGTGAGCTCTCCTGGGATACAAGCAGACACTCTAACCACAACGGGCAGACTGTGCTCAAAGCTGCGCTCCCTCCGCAGCGGCCAGCCCTGCTCACGGCCCTGCGCGTGCCCAGCCTGGCTCCAAGCAGGCAGCGGGATGGGAACGGAGCCCGAACCCAGGCGGGTCCAACAGAGGAGGCAGGACTCTCTGTGCAGACACGAACGGGCAGACATCTGCCAAGACACAGATGCAGAGTCAAAACCCGAGGGCATTAAAAATGGGAAAGTGCAACAAGACATAAAATTAAAAGCCCCATCACGCTCTCCAAACCCACAGATCACTTTCCAGGCCCTCTTCCAGGTCGGTTTTGCCACTGAAATAACGTCTTTCCCAACACTGTTTTGGCCCAACGCTCACAAATGCTCCAGGCTAACAGCAGTCACTGCACCAAAACTCAGACGACCGGGAGGCAGCAGTAGGAGCACAAGGAGAGACACGCGGCCTCAGCCACCTCCTCACACCCTCCCCAGACCCCAACCATGAACCTTCACGTCTGCTCCTCAGCGGCAGATCTCAAAGCACTTGGCTGAGCGGGACCATCGCTGCGGAGACGATGCCAGTGAGGAAAGCAAAGTGGAGGGGCAGGAAGGGCTCACATCACCTCCCACCACCAACCCAGCGGCAGCAGAAACCAGCCCGGCGCAGCCCGGGCAGCTCCCAGGTCCATGTCCCACGGCAGAGCCGGCCCCGCACACAGACAGGTTGTGACAGGCCTGGAACGCTGGGCAGCGGGCGCAGACAGTGCCTGTTCCCTGCGGAGCCTCGGGAATTTTCTAGCATTGGTCTCCCTCAAAATCGCAAGGAGCTTCACGGCGAGGTGCCTGACAAGGTCTCCTTCAGTCTCTTTGAAAATAATTTGGAAGGCAACCAAGTTATAATTAGATCAGCATCCATCTTGGCAGGATCTTTCATAAAAGAAGCACCAAATCAGATTATGACATGTACATTAAATAACCTCCCATGGTCTCCTGCCACGGCGAGGACTTCAGAGGAGAACCGGATACGTAAGTCCTGGATGAAGGCAGGAGTCAGGCTGAATTCCAGGCTTTCTCTTTGCCATTTAACTGGATGCAACGTCAACAACAGAGACGGGGTAGGGAGAGGATGGGTGGTCTTGGAGCCGAGATGCATTTGAGAGAGCTTGAAAATCCACCGCAGGGCCATGGATCCATTCCCCTGTTGGAAACCAATTGATTTCCTTTTAAAGGTAAATTCGATGTTTAGGAATAATGATTTCCAAATGAACAGAGTGGCTCAGATAGACTGGTGGGTTTGATGGACTGGAGATAAAAGGCCTAAACGCAGACCCTAGGAAACACAAACGCGCGTGTCCTCGGCCGGAGCCAACGTCGCTACCCAAAAACACGACTCGTCTCCCTGGCCCCGAGAGGGCAGCGAAGGAGGGGAGGGCAACGGGCCCGGCGAAGGGGAGCGCGGGGAGCGGAGCCTCCTTCCCCGGGGGAAGAACGGGGACGCCAAGCGCACCGCGCGCTGCCAGGCTCGCCACGAGCCGGCCGAGTTTGCTTTTATTTAAAAACTGGCTGCCTGCTGGTTTCATTGCAACTCTGCCACTCTGACTTGCAGCAACATTTAAAATTAAATATACATAAGTGCTTTCAAAGAACCGTTAATTTGAAGGTCATTAAATGGCGCAGAGTATATACATATATATATATTTTATAAGAAGGCACATAATAATGCTGTTAAAACGTGCTCTTCTTCCACATTGAACAGCTCGCTCATGCCTCAGCCGTGCGTGGCTGCTTCACCTCCGCTTCCAGCGGCACCACAGCTCATTTTAATTACTGCTATTGAGAAAGCTGCCTCCTCCCTGCAGCGGGTATATAAAAAGGCAAATTCCAGAGTGGGGAAAAAACACCCAAATTGCCCTGGGATTTTTGGAGAGGGGCAGGGGGGCTCCAGCTCCCCCCATGCCTGCCTCCCTTTAGCAGATAAATGACGGGGAGTACGGGCAGCCTCCAAGCAAATCTGCTGCGTGCAAGAAAAGAGGAAAAAGCAAACACATGCACACAAAAAAGACCCCACACCCTAAACAAGATGCCAGAAGACTGAGGTTTTGCAGTTGCCATAGAAATGTAGGAAAGAAGCTGACAACTGGAGAGCCTTTTGTGGCAGAAGAGGCCGTGATGGGCGGCGGGCGGGCGCAAGATGGACCCAAAAGCTTGGCTTGAAGAGCAGCAAGCGCCACATGGCAGCTTCTGGTTTTAATCCACATTTAACTGTTTCATTTTCATTCCTCTTTTTCCAAGGACCTGCATTTGTCCTCGGCCCAAAAAAACACACAGCTCTAACCCAAGATGCTCACCCAAGGTCCCAAGCTCGCAGCTCCTGCCCCATCTCCATGGAAGGCAGAAGTTGGAGCTCCTCGATGCTCTGTTGCATTTTCATGAAAAAAATCTTCTGGAGCAATTTATCCAACTGGAAGGACCCTCCATCCTTGCACCGGGAAGATAAACACGCAGGCAAGAATCAAGTGAACCTGCTGGGAAAATAGCCGGGAAGGAGCCGCGTTGCCAGATGTGAGGTTTCCTCCTCGCTGCTCCACAAAGGAGGAAAAGGGCCAGCCCGAGGAAGGAGAAATAACCCATCGCGCACCGTGAAAGCTGCGAGGCAGAGCTAACGCTTCAGCACTTCAGTCCCTGCCGCACGGAAACGCCTCCTGCGCTGGAAAATATATTTTCATGGAAAGAAAGAGTCCTAAAAGGAGAAGATGCTCCAGTGGAAAGTCTCCTGAATTTTGCAAGCTCTTTTTTCAATGAAAGCAAAGACCAACTGAGATCATTTTGCATTTTTCTCTTTGTTCTCCCTTATCAAATCAGAAAAAAAGTAAATCAAAGAGGCCTAAACAAAAACAAATAAATAAATGAGACTCTGCTTGTTTTCTGTAAAAAAAAAAAAAAAAATCTTTGGGGAAAAAGAAAGCTCCTGTCCCAGACTAAGTGCAGTTTCAGAGCTGTTGCCCATGGGCTGTCCCGCCACACCCCAGGTTGTGCTGCCGGTTGTGATTTTGCTTTCCCAGGGCTCCAGGAACACTGAGGAGCTGGTGGCAGCAGGCTGAGGAGGGCAGAGCTGGAGCGTGAGGGACGTCCAGCCAAGGGTCCCTGCGCGCCGCCGGTGCTGACGGGGCTGCCGCAGGCACCATCGAGGGCGAGAGATCGTCACAACCCGCGCGCAGTGGCCCAAGGGAGATCCATATTAAGGGTTCATTCGTTTTATAAACCCTGCGTGCAGGTCCGTGGAGGGAAGTTAGACTGCCCAGTCTTACAATACTCTGTGCAAACATGGACATGCTTCTGGTAACTTTAACTAGATCCATTTGCAAGGGGACCAGCAGTGGAATAAAAAAAAAAATCAAATCAAATCAAATGCAGGGAAACATGCACTGGAGGAGGCTACAAGAAGTGAGCGGAAAATACAGACGGGAAGGATGGGTGGACAGAGAGGTATGTGAAACAAATGGACCTACCTCTGAAGCCGTGAAACCTAAGTCTGTAATTTAATATCAAAATCCTTGGGTCCACAAGACGGGAAAAGTTCGCCATCTCCTGCGGTCCCCGAGGCTCTGGAGGGCTTCTCAGTCTGCTTCCCAGAGCATCTCTCCTTCCTCCCCGCGGCCTCCGCAGTCAGCAGCCCAGCGCCAGCCGCCTGCGCCTGCTCGAGTCCCAGCCCGCGCGCGGCCGCGCCGAGCCGTCCTCTGCTTCTCCTCCCGTCTGCAAATGCCGAGCGCTCGCTTTGCTTGCTTGCTTGGCTTCGCCCTGTTATTTCCCACTAGCTCCGGTGCAGTGGATCCGGACAGAAATCCAAGCCATCCACTTCTCCCTCCCCACCACCCCAGATCCCCCCGAGGGTTTGGAACTGACTGTTCAGTCACGTCAGGGTCGGTTGTGATTTTCTGTTATGGACAAGCAGCGAGTCCACAGGAAGTCGACAACGTACACACGCGCACAAGCGCACACACACACACGGGAACACCTCTTTCTGTTTTCCATGATGGATTTTTTTTTCCTTTTTGCAAAAAAATGCAAGCAAAAGAAAAACAAGGTTTTCTATTGAAGGTACATCTCTTCTTCAATATGAAGACATTAACTGGATTGATTCGGATCCCCCATGCAGTGGTCAGTGAAGTCCTTTGGTAGTTGACAGAACGACATCAGGATATGACGGCAGTAGCTGTGGAGACTTCTGAAGACACTTCCACACAGTTCATGAGCAGAGAAAAGGACCAGGGGGAGGCAGGAAGGGCCGGGGCGGGGGGAAGGAGAGCAAAAGAAGAAAAGAAAAGGAACATCGTTGCTGAAGGCGCTTGCTCTGGACCCGAAACTCAATTCTTGTGCCTCTCCCTTCCCCAACAGCCCCTTCTTCCATATCGGCTTTGACTACTGCTCACTGGCGGTGGGATTGGAGTCTGGTTTCTAGGGATTGGGGTTTTCTCCCCAACACATAGTGGTTTGTCTTCATTGCATGTTTGTTTTTTTAAATATATGATTTGTACATATTTATATGTATTTATATGCTGCTCCCCATGACATCGGTAAGTGTGCTTCTGTGGGTGAGACATGGAAGTCACCAGTTAGCCACGAGTCCCAGGCATCTCCTCTGTCTGCAGTTCCAGTTCTCAGGCGACGCTTCAATCTCTCCAAACGCTTCCCTGCTGCTTCCGTCAGTTCCTGCCCTCCCACCTCCGCCCTCCGGTGCTGCCCTCCCCGTGCCCTCCCCGTCGCAGCGGAGGCGGCAGTCATGCTATCGAGGTCGGAGACTGGCTCATCTGCACTCTCATAGACTGCACGCTGTTCAGAATCTTCTTCTGGTGGCCAGCTAAAGTTACCCCTATTCTCAGGAGATCTCTGGAGGGAAATAAAGAAAGAAGCAAACAGAAAGTCAAGGGACAGTTTGGTTTGGGGGTGTTTATCTTGCTGTCTCTAAGAAATGCACATGATGCAAACTCTGCAGTGCTGGCTTCTTCCTCTCAGCAGCCTGAGCAACTCCCATCCGAGAGCAAGGAGCCCAAAGCAGAGTCTCCAGGAAGAGCCCGTGAGTACTGGGGTGTGTGAGGAGGGCGCAGAGAACAACCTGACCGTCCACCCCAGGCCACAAGGACCCCTACACCCAGCCCGCCGTGCTCCCGCTACCCTGGGCTCTCTGCAGCCTTCCTGTCCCCTTCTTGCCCTTGAAGCAGGAGGGACATTTGCCTTCCCCCATCCCGCCTCAGCCCCAAGGCACTGAACCATCTCATGGCAGAAGGTGGCTTTTGGTGGCCTGTCCCATCCCCGAGTACAGCCAGCAGTGCTAGGGACGTCAGGGGGATCCGCGTGAGCACGTCAAACTTACTCTGATGTCATCTGGGCAACAAGCTGCAGGGAGGTGAAACCGGCCGTCAAGAAGTTATCTCTGTACTGGCTCATTTTAACGGCGCTTAGCCAATCTTCGACTGAGGTAAAGGCAGTGAAATCGGGGATGGAGCGGTCCAAGAGTGGCTGAGAAGGCCTGAAAGGCAACACAGAGGCAGTGGCGTTAGGCTGCCGAGACAGGGACCGCACATAACACCAGCCCCAGCCCCGAGCGCCCGCTGCTGCGAGAGGCGGCTCCGTGGGGCGGCCGCACGGGACAGCGGCCCCGAGCACGGCGGGAGCCGTACAGCATGTGTGGGGTGCAGGGCACCTGCACCCAGAGCGTCTCCACCTCCAACGCTCCTGGAATTCACCCTCTTCTGACCTCTCTCTCGGTCCTCGCACCCAGACCCCAGGCAGACAGCGAGACGAGCGCCCCAAGGGGCATCTATGCTAGAGGGCAGCTGCCTCCTGCAGAGGGAGGCACTGGGGATGACCAACCAGCAGGACAGCCAGCAGGACAGGTCCTTGGAAAAGGCACGGCAGCACCGCCGCGGTCCAAGATGCTTCCTAGACACGCACTGGGCAATGCCATGACGGCAAGAGACTTCCTAAGGAATTGAAATTGGCCACGGAGATGCTCACGCGTGACATAGATGGGTTTATTTACACTTCTATCCATTTGCCAAAGTTAGAAGGAAATGGCG